GAAGGGACACCAGCCCATTCGGACAAGTGGCCCTAGCCGGCCTTCCCTTCGCCCCATTCCCTCTGCTCTGCTATAAACAGTTAGCTTACATCCCTAACGCTAGCCACCGAGGTCTACTCCCTTATTTGGCCACTTCCTCCCCCTGAGGCTGACTCCCAAAGTCCAGCAATCAAAAGTCCCCTTTGATTCACCTAATTAACCAGCCCAATTAAAATTAAGCACCTCATCCTAATATCAGGTTTCCCCATTTGTCTTTGTAAACCACCGTTTGCCTATGCGCTACATCCCTCTCTCCTCTATCCAGAGGCAGTCCTTTGTCCATTCGGACAAATAGCCCCTCCCCCTTTCCCTTGTCCCCTCCCCTTCTCCCTCACCCCTGTCTCCTTAAACACCACACCCTAGCCCATTCCAACACAGACCTCCCCTTCTTCTCCTCTTAAGAATGACACCTGCCAGATCATTGGGTGCTGTTTTTCTGCCCGAGTCAGAAAGCACCCACTTTAACTTTTCTTCCCCACTTAATAAAGGATCTCTCTGTGAAAACAGATGTTTGGGTGTGGTTTGTGCCTAATCTGGGGTCCAGGAGGAATCCCCACTCTTTGAGGGGTCTCCTTCACTCTTGAACTCCATAAAAATAGTCAGACAGTAGGAGCGTGTGCGCCTATACTCACGGGTCTAAGAGACTTATCCGTATTGTTTTGTACTATTGAGCAGTACCATTCCATTGTGTGAATGTATCCAGTTGGTTTACCCAGTCCCCTATTGATGGAAATTTTGATGTATTGTTCATTTTGGATATATTGTAAATAGAATAAACACAGACATTTCCAGATAAATCTTCTTGAAGACACGTACTTTCGTGTTTCCTGTAGTAAGTACCTGTAGAGATCTATGTGTGAGTCAGTTTTCTGTTGCTGTAACAAAATGCCCATCAGTGGTTTTCAACCTGTGGTGGACTGTGTCACGACTGTGGTGGAATGCTATTTTAAGGTATGTTAGCATGAGTTTATGCTGTGGAACATTTAATGCTGCAAAGATGTGTTGCATTCTTTTATGTTGCATTTGTTTAACTCTGTGAAACTGTGTTACTTTGCCTATCAAAAACACCTAATCGGTCTAATAAAGAGCTGAATGGCCAATAGCAAGGCAGGAGAAAGGATGGATAGGGTTGGCAGGCAGAGAGAATAAATAGGAGAAAAATAAGTGATCAAAGAATGAGAGAAGGACCAAGCAAAATGAGGTCAGTCACCCAGCTACACAGCCAGGCATGGAATAAGAGGGAGAAAAAAGATATACAGAAACAGAGAAAGGAGAAAGTCCAGAGGCAAAAGATAGATGGGACAATTTAAGTTAAGAGAAGCTGGCTAGGAACAAGCCAAGCTAAGGCTAGGCATTCATAAAAAAGACTAAGTCTCCAGGTGTAATTATTTGGGAGCTGAGTGGCAGGAAAGAGCCAGAAGAATGGGAACAAAGAGTAAACACAACCGAGGACACAGGACCCCTCTGGAGGCTGGACGACACTCTCACAGGGGCACATCGTCTCTATGATATTTACATTATGGTTTATGACAGTAGAAAATTACAGTTGTGAGGACACAGGACCCCTCTGGAGGCTGGACGACACTTTCACAGGGGCACATCGTCTCTATGATATTTACATTATGGTTTATGACAGTAGAAAATTACAGTTGTGAGGCAGCGACAAAATAATTTAACGGCTGGGGGTCACCGCAACATGAGGAACTAAAGGGTCGCAGCATTAAGAAGGTCGAGAACCACTGCCTTAGACAGTCAACTGGAAAAGGGAACAGGCCTGGGCTGGTGTGGTCATCCTTGTCACGCCCGGGTGGGAGTTGCTGATAATCAGTTTTATGGCTTTTGTGAGGATGCCCGGGGTCCAGCTGCACCCAGGGTTTAGAGGCAGGCTTTCTGTCCTATGGCCATCAGTGTCCCTCAGCCTCTGCCCTACTGCCCGCCCCCCATCTGACAGCTCTATCCTGAAGTTGGAATTAGGAAGTGACATTCCTGCCCTTCGGGGAATTCAGGTGCTGCCATTTTCCATGCTGCTGCCCAGTCCCTTCCTGGCAGTCTGCTGACCCACAGGTCTTCCACGGGGAAGCTATGTCCAGTCAGGAACTGAGAGTCAGGTTGCCATTGCTTGAAGGGGTTGTGAGGAGGCTGGCCTGTCAGCTCAGGCCTCGGGGAATTAACTTTTCAGGATTTCCCACTTCAGGCTGGTCTGAGGCGTGAAGAAAGGAGTCTGGCTCATGCTGCAGATGCTGACTCCAAGCTAGCCTGGTGTGGATTGCTGTCCTCACCCAGGATCCCCAATGCTTACGACCAGCACTCCACGGTGGTACTGACGAGAGACCTCAGTTCTCTCCACCCTGGCTCTGGTGCCATCCCTGGACACAGGAGTGTGGAAAGGCCCCTGGGAGGCAGCAGGCCCTCGGCCAGGCTCTGCAGAGACCACCTGCCCTTAGCTGTGGCAGCTAAGACAGTTAAGTGACTTAGGAGCCAGGGCCCATAATGCAAATCTCTGGTTGTGATTTCATTTTCTTGGTGGAGGGATGTGTTATGGAGTACCTGAAGAGAAAAACTGCCGAGGAGAGGCCTGAATAAATCGATTGGAGACTATTTAGCACGAGCACAGCCCTGGCCTCCAGTTGCTTTGAGCTTTTAAGGGCAAAAACCACGACTGTGGAGTGTACAGAAAGCAAGTGTTTACAGAAACTGTTTACAGAGACGGAGAGATAACAGTAAATGATCAGGCGGTTGACCTTTTGCTCAGGGTCTCAATGTACAGGAATTTAGGGCTGGTCCAGAGGCCAGTTTTGCCCAAGGTAGTTTAAGCACCTAAAGTAGTCTTAGGGATTCTTTCATGAGGTGGCGTTAACTACAGTTCAGCATCCCTACGGCTGCAACCTGGTGCCCCACATACTGAGCAGAACCTGGACCACAGAGGCACATGCGCAGTCATACTGAGGCTTGAGAGAGACGTCCAAGGAAGCCAGGGTGTGCCTCCTGAAGTGCTCAATGGACAAGGCGTCCCGGTAGCCAGCGTATAGAGCATCCTCCACGCATTTACACGGGCTCTGAGAAGTTTGAGGTCAAGAAAATGGTGTAGCTGTTTGTTTGCTAAGGCTGCAATTAGTAAGTGCATGAACTCTGTAGTTTAGAAAGATGCAGGACTGAAGGCAGGGCCCCGTGACAGAGTGTTTCCTTAGCATTTGTGAGGCCCTGGTCTCCACCCTCAACACAAACACATACGCACGCATAAATCTAGGTGTAGTAGTGTGACCTATGACCCCTGCTACTTAGGAAGCCTAGGCAGGAGGATTGCTTCAGCCCAGGAATTTCAGGACAAACTGGGCAACTTAGCCAAACGCAGGCTGCAGAACGAAAGAGCAGAGTGTGTTGCTTCCCTGTTCTGGAGGCTGAGGCTGAGGCCCAGGGGCCGGCAGGGCTGGTTCTTCCCAGGCAGGCTTGGAGGCAGGACTCGCCGCTCCAGTCTCTGGAGGCTGCGGTGACCCGGGGGCGGCTCTTGACTTGTAGATGCACTGCCCAGCTCTGCCCCATCGTCACTTGTGTGGAAGTCCTTGTCTGCATTGCCTTTCTGTAAGGGCACAGGTCATGTTGCATGAAGAGGCTACTTTCAGTGTGAGCTCAACTGACTGCACTGTAATGACCTATTTCTAAATCGGGTCACACTTGAAGGTCTTGAACATGTACATTTTGAGGTGATGCAATTCAACCCACAGGGCTAGAATTTCCCACCTGTAAATTATATTTATTTATTTTTGGGGGTAGGAATCCAAAAATGTGATGATATAGTTTAGAGGAACCAGAAAACAAACTCCTAGGGCTGCAGAGAGATGGCTTAGTCGGTAAAGTGTTTGCTGGGAAAACAGAAAGATCACGTTTGACTCCAACACACACACACACACACACACACACACACACACACACACACACACACACACACAAGGAGCTTAACATTTGTAATCCCAGCTCTTGGGAGGTGAAGGGAAGAGGATCCCTGGGGTTTGGCCAGAGATGAATGGAATTGGTGAGCTCCAGAGATACGGAGAGACCCTGTTTCAGAAACAAAGGTAGAGAGTGATTAAGAAAGATCTCGGTGTTGAACTCTAGACTCCATGTGCCTAAGTACACACACACACACACACACACACACACACACACACACACACACACACACACACCCCACTTCAAATCTAGAGCTCTGCCTTTGAGTCTTCCTAAAGTCAGGTGCCACACTGGAGAATCTGTCATTGCTTAGAGGAGTCCTCTAGACATCATCAACCCCCGGGTGGCAGGTGGAGATGTCCATCTGGACATGTCCTCCCTGACTGGGAGGTGGAGGGTCAGCTCAGAGAGGGGACTCAAGAACTCTAGGAGAATGTACACCAGCCCCTGCCCAAAGACAAAACAATGGCCAGCACTTCTTCTTCAGCACAGGCCAGACCTTGGAAGAAGGCACTGTATCCCATAGAGTGCCTTCCAGACTGAGTGAAACAATTCCATTTCTCAATTCACACTCTGAAGCCCTGGGCCCTCTGTCCCCGTATGCCAGGGCACTGTCACTCTGGACAGGTGGGAATTTGTCACATGTCTGAGGCATGAATTTGATGCCCAGTCCTAGCACAAATGGGACATACCAAGGTTACCAAACAGTGAATGGAGCTAGGTGAGCATTCACCAACACAAACACTTGCCTCTTCTGTCTCATACACTCTGGAGAAGTAACCCAGGCTTTCCTGGGAAAGAACAGCCCTGTTGGAACACTCCCTTCTGATTAACTCAGGGAACCCGGAGAATAGAAGGGTTTTTATTAACACACTATGCCCAGCTGGTTCTCAACAAATCACTGAATCTGACACGAGCGTCTTAATAACCAGAGGCTCACTCAGATGCCACAATAGGGGACTGCTTTGACATCTTATTGACACAAAGAGTCACATTGAAGGAGACCAGACGGGTGACATTTAGATGCATTTAGATGAAAATCAGCCAGGCAGACAAGAGTGGGGGGCCTTGGGTCTAGAAGAAGGTCGAAGGGAGATTCTTAAATTTGAAATTGTAAAGAAAGAATTCATTAGTCCAGGCTATAATGCAGGCAGATGGTGTGATAAATAAGTTTAAAGAGTTAAAGTCAACAAACAACGAATATGGAATAGGCTTAAGCAAGTAGGGGATAGCATGGTTCAAGGGATTGATGGGTAAGGGCCCAAACATTTCACGGGCTACACTCCTCCTAGGTGTCCATCAACAGAAGGAAAAGTGGAATGGACAGACCAGAGTATTAGTCAGCCATAAAGAGGAATGGAACCCAGGCATTCACAGCAAAACGGATACAACTGGAGGATGCTGTGGTAAGTAAAGTAAGGCACACATCAAAGACAAGGGCCACACGTTTTCTCACACGTGAAAGCCTGAAGTCAACTGAATGTGGGATAGTGTCACAGAGGTTGGGGAGGGTGCAAAACGGAAAAGCGTAGTGAGATTCCAATCTTTTTTCTAGTTAAGCATTCCCCCCTGTGTGTGTGTGTGTGTGTATGAGTGAGTGTGTGTGTGAGTGAGTGTGTGTGTGTGTGTTTCTACTGTGTGGGTGCAAAACGGAAAAGCGTAGTGAGATTCCAATCTTTTTTCTAGTTAAGCATTCCCGTGTGTGTGTGTGTGTGTGTGTGTGTGTGTGTGTGTGTGTGTGTGTGTGTGTTTCTACTGTGTGGGTTCTAGAGACTTCACCTGCTAAGCCACCATGCATTCACGCTGGCCCCACAAGCTGCCTTTGAACCCAATCCCAAAGCTAACCCATAATATTTATAAACACGATTCCATTTTCTTACAGATGCTTTCCCCCTGCACCTCTTCTGCATGGCTTTACTCCCCTTTGCTCTAGGAACCATAGGCGACAAGGAGTGTTGGAAAGAGGCTCCCAGGCTTAGGGACAGGAGGTCAGTTCGATCCTGTTGGGCCCCTTACAGGTGGGACTTCAGGTCAAGCAGGGAGGACCTGTCAAGTCCTTCCTTAATTATCAGTCACAGTAGTGTGGGACACAGGGAGGGGACCAGGGGAAGGAAATGGGTGCTTAGGCCCTGACTTTTCAAGAGAAAGAGCAAGAAAGCAGAGTGTGTGAGGGCAGTTGGTCTCTGCCCACCTGGCACAGGAGACGGAATCGGAAGATGGTCCAAGGCAGGAAGAAGGCAGAGAAGGCGGAGTCTGAGTGATGCTCCCATCAGCACGTGCGTGGCCATGCAGCTTCCACAGGAAAACCTGCTTGTGATCCCTGGCTTCCGGGTGGGGTTCAAGCAAACCCTGCCTTTTCTTTTCGGGAAGATACAACTGTCCGAAAGCACTGCCCTGCAAGCTGGGGTGTTTAATAAAAAGGGAATTAATTAATTCATTAATTAAGAGCCACCCCGCTGTGCCTTACTTCCAGCCACTCCCCACCCCCACACTCCCATGGCTCCCCTGAGCATCTAGCTATTTGGGACTGACTGGCCCTGGTGGCAGGAGAATCAGGCTGCCTTCGTCTGTCTGTCAGTCTTTCTCTCTGCCATCTGTTTGTCATCTGTCTTATTATCCAGCAGTGCTGGAGATGGAACCCGGGCGTCACACACGCCAGGCAGTGCTCTGCCACTGAGTCACCGCTCCAGTCGGTTGTCTCAAACACTGTCATAAGCAATATTTCTTCATTCGAGGATGGATGGTGACTCCCCTTAAGTTGAGCCCCCAGTTTCTGCGACAGGGAAAGGACTGGTAGGGCGCCCAGCTCATCTGGGTTTCCGGGGATACCCCATTTAAAGCAGTAAACCCGTGCTCCTCAGTCCCGTGAAGCACACGCCACAGAACCCCCAAGTCCACCAGAACCACGAACCACCATGCACTGGAGGCTGTCCCGAGGGCTCTTCAGGCACTGTGGTGTCCTAACCTCCCATGACAGTTCCTTCTGAGGACCTCGACAGGCAAGTTCCTCAAGGCGTGACTCTGCACCTCTCCCTCCCCACCCTGACTCCTGGCCACCCTGTCATGGAGTGTGGTGTGTGTGTGTGTGTGTGTGTGTGTGTGTGTGTGTGTGTGTGTGTTTTCAATGCTACATTGAACTCAGAGCCTTGCACATGCTAAGCAAGCACTCTGCTGTTGAGTTACAGCCCAAGCCCAAGTACATATTTATACACACATATACATGCATGTAAATATACGTTTGATTCTTTTTTCCTGAGATAGGGTCCCATGTAGTCAGAATGGCCTCAAACTTACTCTGTCGCCTAGGACTCCTGAACTTCATATCCTTGGACTTCCACGACCAAATGCTGAGATTACAGGCATATGCCATCATGCCTAGTTTAAGCAATACTAGGAATCAAACCCAGGGCTCCATGCATGCTAATACGTCCCCAAATATATATCTACCTACGGATGCTAGAGCACTTTACCACTCCTAGCTAAGGCTCATGGAAGGGCCTGAACCTTGAAAACAGTGAACAAGAAAAGATGGATGTGAGTGTCTGTGCTATGCTTCATCTTAGTCTGTCCTATGTCACTGTAACGGAACACCACAGACTTGGACAAATACAAACAAGAGATTTATTTCTTACAGTTCTGAAGGCCAGAAGGGCCAAGATTACCGGGCTGGCATCAAGCAAGGAACTTCTCGCTGCTCCATTCCAGGTTGAAAGCAGGAGAGAATCAGGGGTTGGGAAGGGGCTGAATTCATCTTGTCACCAGGAACCCACTCCAGGGGCGGGTTCCCTCCGTCCCATGGTGGAGTGCCAATCCAATTGTGAGGCACAGCCTGGAGACGGGTCCCTTTTGAAAGGTCTGCCTCTAACACCAGTGGCTCAAACTGTGAAGTACCTCTCCAGTGTGTCAACTTTGCAGGGTGCATTTGAACCCCAGCCACTCAAACGCCTACAACTACAAATCTCCCAGAGACATTCTGCATCTCCCTTAGGGTTTCCACTGGCCATGGCACATACCTCCCACCGAGGATGGACCATGCTGAAGGTTGCAAATATTCTCAGAAATGTGATGCCGTACAACCTGACTTTCCCTGGGGTCAAACTTGAAATGGTTGCTCTTGAAAATGAGCCAATCCCAATCTTTAAAGGCAAGAGTCAGGCTGTGTGCTGGGGTGACACACACGCGCTATCCCAGCACTCTTAAGCTGAGGCAGAATGATCCTGAGTTTGAGGTCAGCCTGGGCTACATAGCAAGAACCTCCCTCAGAAAACAAACAGAATAAATTAAAAAGAAAGAAAATCAGAGTTGGTCTGGAGGTCTGAGCCTGGGGGGGGGGGCTCAGTGGCAGCATGGTGCTGAGCAACGGCCAGCTCTAGGCTTAGCACTGAGAAGTGAAGTCACAGCAAAGGCCATGCCAACCAGGGACATTCTGTTTTCTCGCTTTCCTCATGAATGTGTCAATGCGGGACTGATGTAGACATTTTTAAGGGTGCTTGGAACTCAATTGTCACCAGCAACTGGGCATCACCAGGCCCAGGACCTCAGGTCAAATTCCCCAAGAATCTCTTTTTGCTACAAAATGATCATTCTGGGCCACTCTACAAATGGAGGGAAGAGTTTCTTTTATAATGTTTAACTCTTAACATCGTAAATCTGAGATGTCTGCATTCCTTCCCATAATTCCAAAAGAGTCTTTCTTCGTGCTCTCTGAAGGAGAAAAACCAGGCATTGCACCTGCCTTCCAGACTGCCTGGGGCTTCAGCCCGCTCTTAAGCTTCCCTGCCTCCTGAGTCCCCTCAACCAGGGCACCGAGTGCCTGCCCAGGCCCTTTCCACTCTGCCCATGCTGTGGCTTCTTTCACCGGCTCTTAGGTTTCCCAGGCTGGTCACACGGCTAGCGCACAATCACAGTGTGGCTCATTATTGACCTCAGCATGAGCCAATCTTTATCAAAACCCTGAAGTGGGCGACTCTGTCAAGGTGCCACTGTGGCTCGCAGCCCAGTTCCTTACAAAGTCACGGGCGCCACAGCTGGAGCCGTGGTGTCACAGGAGGGTGATCTGAGAGCTTGTTTGATTGCCTTGTGTTTGATCGCTGCAGAGTTACTCACTATTCCTCAGACCGCGGTTATGAATGAACATGAATCAGATAGCAGTCAAAGTTCCCCGGGGTGGCTTCCTGTCTCCCCTAAAGTGAAAGCATGCCGTGGGGGCCCTCTCACCCCCCTGCCTGGGCATCGCTCTTGTGGGGCTCAGGAGGGGAACTATCACCTGGGTGGAACCACACAGTCTTACACTTGTTGAAGTCTACAAAGTTCATAGTGCCGGACCCCTGGGCTCGGAGCCCTCTCCCTAAGCAACGCGTGACCCTGTGAATTATGGAAAGGGAGTCGTGTGAGTCACTGCACGTTACAGGAGAGAAGGTGGAGACTCTCCACTCCTTCCTGTCATCTCTGGTTCTCAAGACCTAAACGGGTCCTTTTGGCCAAGCAAGATTTTCTTGGTGTGGCTGAACTCGGGTCCCTTTCTGGGCTGGCCCTGAGAGTACTCAGCGAACCAGATCTGCTCCTAGGACTGTGGTGGAGCCATGCCAGGGCATTGCTTTGGTGGAGTCAGGATGTGACAAGTGGCTTGGGAACCTCTTCAGCCTGAGGGACTGCGGGTCCTCCAAGCTTCTGCCGCCCTCTTTGACAGGGCCTCCGTCGCCTTCCTCCCTGTTCTCAGGGCTCTGCCCCACCCTGTGCCTCGATGCTGTTATCAGTTCTGCCTCCCACCAGGGCTTCTAGCAAGTTGAGGCGGGGTGGGGGTGGGGGGAGGCATGCAGCCACTTGGACCATGTAAGGTCTTGGTTTGGAGCCTGGGCTCCTCTCCTGTTGACCTCTTTCTCTAGAGTTCCTGCCATCAGTGGATAAAGGATTTACCAAATAGCCTGCTTCCTAGAGGCCGCAACCGTGGGAGAGATGCTCTGGGCACAAACAGCCACGGCACAGTGTTAAGTCCTTCCTCGCTCTCTCTATAGAAGGAGGCTTGAGGTGACCTACACCCTCATTGCACAGGGGAGGAAAGGGATGTCCAGGAAGACAGATGGTTTGTATTGTGTCTCGTGGTTAGTTCTTGGCTAGAGCAGAGTCCTGGGTCACCCCTGTAAGGGGCTCATTGATTCACTGAAGTCATGTCAGTCCCAAAGACATGTATGTCTTCAGGATTAGACGGGCATGGCAGGAAAACTACTTGAGGCCGTGCCTCTCCCTTCCCCGTCACGTCCTCATGCCAGAGCAGTACCTGACACACACGAGGACCTCAGTGAAGGTCAGCTGTTGGTTGACTGGTGAGCTCCACTCAGTGCCCTTTCTATGGCTTTGCCAAGCCTGAGTCAATAGTCAGACCTCTGGACTCTTACTGAAATGGATCAGGTAGTCACCGAGGAGACAAACAAAGAGGGTGATTGTGACTCACCTCCCCTGCCTTTGGCACACAGAGCGGTCGGTTACCTCACCCACCTCCAGGCAGGAAGAATTGCTGAGTTACTCATTTGCTGTAGAACCCGGTGTGGCTTCAAGTTCTCCGTGACCATCCATGAGGCTCTGTTGAGAATCCAAAGTCAGATGGGTGAACACTGTGTCGCTACGCAAAGCGGCCTACACGTGTGATCTGGGCTTTGTGCAAAGGGCCGAAGGGATTCACACGCCAGCGAGCACATGGTGGTGGCACCCCTCGAGGTTAGCTTGATTTGGACTCGTGTTTCTTCAGGGAAGGTAGCATGATTTTGTGTGGTGTAAACTACTTCTAGCATCCATTTGAAATACAAGTTAAATATACATATTTTTAATAGCCTCCCCGAGAATTCAAAATGGTTTTGTGGTCTCACCTCCTTTTCTGGCTTCTCTGTGTCTTCCTTCTCTCTTCCTCTTCTGACTGGGCTGCAGCTAGTAGACCCAGGGGTTCAAATGTCACTCATAGTAAAATGGCCCAAATGCAGTCAGTGATACAGACGACGAGTTGAGCTTCAGATATTGGCCCCTAAGGAATGAGGTCAAAGGTTTTGTCAGCTAGGAGACCAAATAGCTTTCTGGTTCCATGAACACAAATTGCTCCTCCAACCAACAACCTTCTTTTTAATAACCTACTTTCCCAGGCCCGCACCCTCAGTGACATAGGCTCTTTAGCATCTAAATGGCCAGGCCTTCTCGGGGGCAGTGCACAGAGCTCTAACACACCGAGAGGCAGCTGCCCCAAGTTGAGGATGCTTCCCAGTTTCCCCGGGGCACTTCCTTATTGAGGGCCTCCCTTGGAGGGGGAGGTAGGAAGTGAGAGAGGAAGGGGGGGGGAGGAGAAAGTGAGGTTCACAGAGGAGCAGACAGCAAGCGGCTTTGTAAAGAAACCAACGGAATCTGCCACAGTTTTATTAATAGTGATCTCCCAATGCTCTGGGCATCTCTACACAGAGCTTCCGGGCTTTTGCCTCACCGTAACGAAGATGGGCTGAAAATGTCCCTGTTCCTGTTCCCACAGGTGTCTGGCATCCTTAGACGGCTCTCGGGGAAAGCCCCCAGGTGCTGGAGGAGGCTGCAGAAGGATAAGGTCTCACCACTGGAGGAATAGTAGGCTAACTGTGGAGCCCGCTCTCCCTCTCTCCCTCCCTCCCCCCTTCCTTCCTCCCTCCCTCCCTCCCTTCCTCCCCCCTTCCTTCTTTCCTCCCTCCCTCCCTCCCTCCCTCCCTCCCCCCTCCCTTCCTCCCTCCTTTCCTTCCTTTTGATCAGTTCATGTAGCCCAGGCTGTCCTTGAACTTGTGGCATAACTAAGAATGACCTTGGACCTCTGACCTTCCTACCTCCACCAGCTGAGTTCTGGGATTCTGGGGATGCATCTCCACACCTGGTTTGTCTGGTGCTGGGGGTGTCAAACACATGACTGGCCCATGCTCACCCAGCTGGCCTTCTTCCAACTGAGCCCCCTCGGCAGCCTTTGGGCACCAGTCCCGAGCCGAGGGAGTTCGGTCAGGAAGCTGGCTGGAGTCTGTGCTTCCCGGTCAGGTAGGATTTTTGGAGCCACTGACTTCAGGGCCTTCTCATGAAGGAGCCTCAGGGGATTCTGCTCCCGGCTGCTGTGGGGGTGGGGAGGGCCCAAGAGATGGGGACTTCAGAGGCTGCACAGATTTGCAGCTCCACCACCTGGCCATGAACCGGCTGGTCTGTCGGGGATGGGGGTGCAGAGGGCAGATTCGAAAGGAGCGAACAGAGCAAGCTGAGGCGGGGGGGGGAGGGGAGACCTGCAGGCTCCACAGCCCGCATCACTCTCCCTGAGCCACAGAGCCTGAAAGGCCAGTTTGGTGAATGGGTGGAGCAGAAAGATTTCTCTGGAAAGGTTGGAGCCAACAGGAAGATAATTGCTGAGGCTCCCTCTGCGTGGTGATGTCCAGATGGGCCCTCTCATTTCTGCTCCTTTCTCCCAGGCTGAAGTAACAGCTTCAGCTTCATGAGAAGAAAGGGCTTCACCTGGACCCGTGTGCAGAGTCAAAGAGGGGCCTTCCGCTGTTTGTAGACAAGTTTTCAGAGAGTTGCCCTTGCCCAAGGCTGGGGCCTGTGTCTCTGTCCTGCGGGTATGGGGAAAGCCAGATGACCTTCTCTGGGTCTAGGTGAGGTAAAGATGTGTCCTCCATCATCTCAAAAAGACTGGACACCTGTCCAGGGACCCTCTCTCATTTCTGGACAGTATTGCCTGTTATGGTGGGAATTCCACCCAAGACCCCTCCCCTATCTCCCTCCAAGCCCTGATGCATCTCGGAAAGCCCCCCAAATGATGGCCCCTCCCCCAGAGATGTTCAGGACCACTCCTACAGGGTATTTAAACTGCCCCTTAGAAAATAGACTTGTGGTTTTTCCGGTCTCCGTTTTCTGTATCCTCCCTGGGGGACTGGAAGGCCATCCAGGAACCTTGTATCCGTTAAACGTGAGCTTTTTCTAATTCGGTTTGATTTGGATTTTCTCTTTGGTGGAGAGCCTTATGGGGTGTAGAAACTTTTCATTGCCCGGAGATGCTTTCTTCCAGGAATTGGAGGCCCTGACCCTGTCAGAAAGGCACCTCTCTGCCTCATAAAGCTGTTTCTCAGCAGTCCCTTTCCAGTCACCTCAGAGGCGTCAATCTTCGGGAAACTCTGCGAATGCGTCTCTATCCCCTTCCATGACTGTGTTCGAGGTGCTAACTCTGGGGTCCAGGACCCAGCTCAATCTGGACCCACCCACCTCAGTAGCCTCAGGCTAGACCATCACTTCCTACTCCCCCCACTGAGGCAGAACCCCAGCCCAGCTGCCTCTGCTCATCATGGCTTCAGAACACCCCAAAATGGGCCGGTTTGCCGCCAGTCCTCTGCTCCCATTCAGGAGGCAGCCCGTGTGATCCTTCCGGCCCGCCATTCCTTCTAGTCCTCTGCAGTCTCTTTTGTGTGTAGCCCCACCCCCGTCTCTGCTGACTGCCCTGCCTTGGCTTTGAGCCTCACGTTCCAGAAGCATCCAAGACTATGCTGCTCGGAGCAGCTTCACCTGTTACCTTCCTGACAGCGGATTCAACCCTCACAGAGCAGACACCGCGCCTCGTTTCTCGAGACAGGGTTTCTCTGTGTAGCCCTGGCTGTCCTAAACTCACTGAGCAGACCAGGCTGACTTCAAATTCCGAGATCCGGCTGCCTCTGCCTCCCGGCGTTAAAGGTGTGTGTCACCACCACCTGACCGTTTCCCATCTCTTCAAGCCCTCCTTGCGTCCATGCCTTGCCCCTCCCTTGCAGCACAGGGATGCCTGCAAAGTTCCTGCAGCCTGGTGCCAGCACAGGCCCTGCCCGGGGCTGAAGCTCAGCGGCAAGAGAAGGAAGTGGTGAGGAAGGAGGAAGGTTCTAGACTTAGGCAGGAGCTTATCTTAGTTGTACCTGTAGGTCGCTGGCAGACCCGGGGTAATGCCAGAGATGCCCACTGCCACTCCTGCCTGAGAGGGCCAGCCTGAGACAGCCCTCAGTGCCACTCTTAGCCCTCTTGCTTGCTTGGGCTCCTGCTGACCCAGCTACTGCCTCTGAGATATCCCTCCCTGCTCAAGCCTACTCCTCAATCCACCCGCTGCTGAGGTGCTTGGCCTGAGGCATAATAAAATACAATGGGGGACGGGGAAGCCCCCAGAACCTAGGAGGGCTCACAGTCTAGGAGAGGAGACAGAGGCCAAGGAATAGTAACTTAAATCACATCTGTTTAGAAACCATGACATGGCCCGAGGGGACAGTGGCTCTTAAAATAAGGGCCAAGCAACTAAAAACGCGCACCCTTCACAAAGAACCGAGCGGCCAGACAGTGGCTCCTGTTGAGCAAGCCCTTTGCCTGCCTCTGCCACCTCAACTATGCTAGCGCTGACCCCAGGGCATTGGGCAGTGCTTGCTGACAAAGGATATGTATCATCTCCACTTAATGAGGACCTCCCCGGCAGGTACCGGGAGAAGAGCGAGGGGTGTTCACTGCGGCCCTGTGGGTCAACGGTGTGGTCTGCAGGAAACATAGGTGTCTAGTTGTCGGAGGAAGGGGGCCAGCAATGGGATGGATAGTCACACACAAAAGGACTCTGCATCAGCAAGAGTTAGCGGGCTGGATACGCACAACAGGCATACAGACCATAGACCCACGCGGAATGAAGGCTCAGATCAGGGCTTGTGGCGCCCGGCCAGTTTTGGAAATCTGCTGGGGTTCTTTTTTTTGTACACAGACTCTCTAGGTTGTCCAGGCTGGCCTTGAGCTTGTAATCTTCCTGCCTCTGCCTCCCAAGTGAAGGAATTACAGGAATGTGCCACCGTGCCTGACTCATCTACATGCGTTAAAGATCACCCCGAACTGTGCTACGTTACTTTCAAGGTGATTGTCTATATGGAGACAGAGATGCATGTGCATTCTACAAACACGTGCATATCTAAGAACGGGCATCAGATACATTATAGTTGGTGCCTGCTGGGAGAGGATGGAGTGGAGATTAGAGGGAAAGGTAAAAATGCAGTAATAGCCGGGCGTTGGTGGTGCACGCCTTTAATCCCAGCACTCGGGAGGCAGAGGCAGGTGGATCTCTGTGAGTTCGAGGCCAGCCTGGTCTACAAAGTCTCCAAAGCTACAGAGAAACCTTGTCTCGAAAAACCAAAAAAAAAAAAAAAATGCAATAGTACCTGCTTGAAAGGGCTTTGCACAACCTGGTCGTAATTGTACACCCCAGTCAGCTTCTTCCTCTGCTGCCATGGTACCACAGAAAACAAGGCCACACAATTCCACCGGCCAACCTGAAACACCGAGCGAGCGTCTCAGGGAATTCTGCTCTCTCTTTCTAGAGGTCTTCACTCAAGTCTCCCGCATGAGGGCCAAGAGTCTTGACACTTAGAGGTGGGAAAGCCACCCCAGCCACACAACTTCATACAATGAGAGGAATGGAGGCTTGCTCTAGCGCCCACCCCCACTTCCTGCCCCAGTCCCTGCCAGGCTCGTTTGCCGCCACTCAAGGCAGTGTTCCCCCGTGTTTGTTTGAAGGGCTTGGCTGTGTTTGTCTGAAGCAATGCCTGGTGCCCGTGTGTGGTTCAAGGAGAAGGGCTCCTAATGAGTGGAGAGGCCCTGTCCTGCTCTGTCAATGTTGTTGAGTGTTTTTCTCTTTCCAGGACAACGGTCCTCAAAGCTCGGATGAGCTCACCGGCTCTGGACAGGTGAGAGCAGGACCCAGGCTTCAGTGGGAGGGATCCTGGTATGATGTCACCGTGGTACTGAGGCACAAGAAGGGATTGAAGGGACTGTCTTTCCCACAGCCTCTTCGCGGTATTCACTGGCTCTAACTGCAGCAGGTTCAGAACACATGTCCTGTGTGGGCACACGGTGCTGATGTCAACAGTTTGCTGCGACTGCAGGTCCATAAAGCTACTGACAGGAGAATTGCACAGGTGTCCGCGTGGGCCCTGGCCAGGGTTTATGACTGCTAGAAGATGAGGTGGGGCAGTCAGTCCTCAGAGAGGCAGCTTTCACAACGATTTCTGTGAGTGCCCCCCAGTCCTTCATGAATCACTTGCTTCTAATTGTGTTGTCGTTTTTATTAAATCACAGTGCGTGTACTTGGGGGAATTGCACATGTCAAAAGAATGGGCTCTTAGAACTTATACATGCCTGTGGAATTAGCACAGAGCATTACCAGACCACAGAAGCCCCTTCACACATATCCCTTAGACCACAGAAGGGAGCAATCTGTGTGTGTGTATGTGTGTATGTGTGTGTCTGTTTGAATGTGTGTATATGTGTATATGTGTGTGTGCTATATGTGTGTGGTGTGTGTGTGTCTATGTGTGTATCATGTGTGTGTGTATATATGTGTGTGTATATGTGTATGTGTATATGTGTGTGTGTGTGGTGCATGTGTATCTATATGTGTATGTATGTGATGTGTGTATATGTGTAAGTATGTGGTGTGCGTATGTATATGTGTATATGTGTGTATGTATGTGGTATGTGTGTGTATGTATATATGCATGTGTGTGTATGTATATGCTTGTGTACGTATATGTGTGTATATATGTGGTATATGTGTATATGTATATATGCATGTGTGTATGTGTATGCTTGTGTGTATGTATATGTGTATATGTGTGTATATGTATGTATGTGTGAGTATGTGTAGTGGTGTGTATATGTGTATATGTGTTTGTGTGTGTATGTATATGGTATGTGCATGTGTGTATATGTGTATATGTGTGTGTATGTGTTTGTGTGTGTATGTATATGGTATGTGTATGTGTGTGTATGTGTATATGTGTGTGTATGTGTATATGTGTGTGTATGTGTATATGGTATATGTATGTGTGTGTGTATATGTATGTGTGAGTATGCATGTGTGTATGTGTGTATGTATATGGTATGTGTATATGTGTATATGTGTGTATGTGTATATGTGTGTGTATGTGTTTGTGCGTGTATGTATATGGTATGTGTATATGTGTGTGTATGTGTATATGTGTGTGTATGTGTATATGTGTGTATATGTATATGGTATGTGTATGTGTGTGTATGTGTATATGTATGTATGTGTGAGTATGCATGTGTGTATGTGTGTATGTATGTGGTATGTGTATATGTGTGTATGTGTGTGTATGTGTATATGTGTGTGTATGTGTTTGTGCGTGTATGTATATGGTATGTGTGTGTGTATGTGTATATGTATGTATGTGTGAGTATGCATGTGTGTATGTGTGTATGTATATGGTATGTGTATATGTGTATATGTGTGTGTATGTGTATATGTGTGTATCTATGTGTATATGTGTGTGTGTATGTGTGTGTGTGTGTGCGCAGGTTCCTGTGTGCATTCATGTGAAGGACAGGTTCCAGCATCAGATGTCTTCCTCTTTCCTGTCCATCTTATTCTGGGGGACAGGATGTCTCACTGAGTCTGGAGCTCATCAGTTGACTATGCTGACTGGCTTGTATGCTCAGGGATCTACCTGTCTTGTCTGCCCAGCACTGAGATTACAGGCCTGCCTTGTCTCGTGGGTGCTGGGGATCTGAACTCATGTCCTCATGCTTGCACATCAAGCATTTTATCCAATTAGTCATCTGCCCAGCCACCCCTCACCTCAGTTTTGACTTTATCAACATCAGGGGCAGAGAAGCCAACAGCCACGAAAGCCTGCACCCCCTGACTCTGTTGTCGCCTGCTGGATTTGGGAAGCCAGCTGGCACATGCTTGAGTGTGCCTCCTGAGTCCTTTACTGACATGGATGAGATAGATGGCCGCTGGTTCTGTCTGTGGCCAGCCAGAGAGGCAGGTGTCTGGGGGAGAAAAACGAGCCTCTGGAGAAGGTCAGTTTTCAACCAGCAGAATGAAAAGGAAACAAGACAGCAATCTTTCTCCCACAGGCTGTTTGTCTCCAACTTGGAACTATTGCAAAGTATGCCCAGTTGGCTCTTGGGAAGAACACCACTCAGTTCTAATATGCACGTATCATTTAAGATCAATTCTCCTTTGAAATGAGCTCCCTTGTCCCCACTGCACTGAATGAGAGATAGACAAGGGACCAGCCGTATTTCCAACCTGGGGGCTGCTGAGGCTTGCAGGGAAATAAGTGGCTGGCTTAGTTACTAAGCCCCCTCCAACCCCCCACGGAGTTGGCAGAAATCTAGCCGATCAGCAGGGGACCCAGGCCGGTTCCCAGCTTACCCTGGACCAGCAACAAGCAAGCACTAGGCAGTGACTGAAGTGCTTTGCTGAGTACATGACTCAGGCTTGGGACATAGACCCTCTCCCCACACTGAGGCCTCTGGAGGAAAGCGCCTCCCTCTATGGTGTGGCCTCTGAACTTTAAAGATGGGCTGCTGGAAGCCCATCGTGTGTGGGTAGCCACACAGGAGAAGCAGGGTTTGCTGCGCTCAGATTGCTCTCAGACCTTCGATTATGGAAATTCTCTTTTTTTTACCTTAGATGTGTTTCTCCCTTGTGAAAAAGAGTGGCATAAGCTATTTAACTCCCACTGCTTTTCTTAAGGGTATCTTTGTCAGAGTGCTGAGGTACAGCCAGTCACAGAGCACTCAGTAAATAGCCACAGGACAGACTTTTCTCATAGCCCAGTCACTACTTACTCAGCAGCTTCTGGGCTCCAGAAGGTTCCCAGTTTTATTTACTGCCTCAAAAGGTAGAACAGCCTTTTCTATTTGACACATGAGGAACCTGAGTAACCCAGTTAGTAAACAGCAGTGTTGGGATTTGACAAGGGGCATATGCCTCCAATGCCCACGTTCTCCACAGAGAAAGTCAGCACAAATGCTGGTATGGGGTGGGAGGGGGGGAAGTTTGGGGTGGGAGGTGTGTGGGGGGTCTTTGCACCTTAGTGAAAGTCCTCAGGGTAGCATAAACCATGAAGTAAAGAAGGTAGACTTAACACCCCTAACACTCTTATAAGAGCTGTCCATTAGCACAAGAACCACAGCCCTGGGGGATCTTGGGAGTCCCTGAGCCCTTCCCTCATTGGACAGTGAGAAAACCCATTTAAAGAGGATATGCAACTAGCCCAGGCCTAACCAGTATAAAATGAGGGGGTTACCTCATGAGTCCTTACCCGTATCCTAGGGCGTTCCCTTTGCCAGTGGCCCTGAAGTCTCTCTCCCTCTGCCTTGTCTTCCTTGCAGCAGGCAGGTTTGATGTAGGCAGAGGACACACCAGAGCAGAGTCACCAGAAAGCAGGGGACCCCGGAACGACTTGCAGGGCCCCAGGGCTGAGGCCTCTGTGCTCCTCATGATCCTAATGAACTTACTGACTTTGAGAGTGAGCTCTGGACGCACTCCGTTCCTTTGGCCTTTCCTGGCACCGCTCAGTGCTCACTGCTATGCAGAGGGCACCTGGCTCCTTCTAGATACTGGGTAAACATTGCCCAGCAGAGAGGGACTCCGGGACATCTGGAGAGGAGGAAATCTCCTGAAGACTTTGACCTCTAGGATGAGATCATGGGCTTTAGAAGCAAAAACATTTTATAGATCCAATAAATACAACACAACCTGGCTATTATGTAACGTCAGGTGTTGTGGTACTCTGCCATGAATTCTCCACTGGAGCAGGAAGCAAAAAGAAAATCCATTTCAGGACAGTGACCTGTCCAAGGTCACAGCCAGATAAGGATGGCATCAAGGATGGGTCCCAGGGCAGTTATGGAGCCTGCTGGCCTCTCTACCTGCCCCACCCATGTCCCTCAAAACTTCTCCATCCTGCAGGCATAGCTGAAACCAGCCTGTCTCACTCATGCCCCGGTGGGGGTGCTGCCCCAATGGAGATGTCTGGGCTCTGACCTGGTGCCAATGACAAACAATCCTGCTATAAGATAGTCATGTGCCATGGAGCACTGAGGTCAGACATCTGTAGTTCCCAAGCAGAGAAACTCAGCACAGTTTGCCAAGGTCATGCAGCTGCTAAATGACAATGCTGACAAGAGCCAAATGCTGGTGAGAGCCGGCAGCTCCATGAAGCATAGTGACAGCCAGGAGCGTCTTCTCAACACATGTGACGGTGCAGCTGTCTTCCCAGGATGTGCCCTTGCACAGGAAAAATGTGCAAGTACTTCAAGTCAGTTATTGAGTTGGGGACAGTCCCTCCACAGGGCTGGGACATTCCAATAGAAGGGACACAGAGGCCTCTCACCTAGGGAGGGGGACACATAGCTTTGGTATTAACTTGAAGAGTTGTCATATTTGGAGTGACACAGAATAGGATGATTCCACCAGCCAGTTCTTCAGTTTAAATATCTCACGGGCCTCAGCTAGGTATCCTTGGACAAGATGGTTAGGACCTGACTGTCCATGTCATTCTCTGTCATGCCCAAACTTGTGAGTGTCCTTCCTGGAAGGTGGGTCTCCAGGCTGAAAGTAGCATCCAGACACACCAGCTGGCCTTACCCTGGTACTATAGCTGCATGAAGGTGGTCAAAGGTAGCGCTTTGGTAGCCAAGAGGAATTTCCCACTTAGTGACTGGGACACAACAAGTGTGATGACTATTTGCAAAGCCATGCATGTTGGGAGAAACAAGCTGTAGCCAGAATTCAATGTTACAAGCTAGTGACAGGGGCTTGGGAAAGTGCTATGAGCAATCAGTCCTGATAGCCAGCTGCTTGCCTAGCAACTCCAACTTCTATTGTATTAGAGTTGATCTTGAACTCAGAAGTAGGAGGCCCTGTGGGGGTGGGAAGGTCGTTCTGTTGTCTGTCTCTCAGCTGGGTGAAGAAGTCTGCCCTGCAGGCAGCCCACTGCTTTCCTCTCCTCCCGAGATGAATCAGCTCCTGGGGAATACTTAGGCCTTGGGAAACAGGGAGAAAGCCCTGACCGGTGAGCCATAGCTGAATGGAGGTACTGTTTCTTTTGCTGGACCAGTTTCCAAAGCTGTCCCATTATTTTCATCCAAAGAGCTCAAGCTTGTCTCGAGTGCTTGCCCATCCAACCACTGTCCCCGAAAGTAGTAAGACCGTTTATGTCCCGTCAGCAACCTTCTCAGACCAGCAGGGAGCCATTTACAGCAGGGGAGTGATGACAGGTGACCT